TTGGAGGACAACAGAAAAAGGTGCAAAAAGTGATGTTTTTTGAGAAGAGGTGGATGGAGAACAACTTCATCGAGCCTCTTAAAGCAGTGCAGAGGAGACTCAATCGTCCAGCTCAACGTCGTATTGAGCCTCCCCCACGTCGTTACAGTCCTCCTGCTCGTCGCAGGGAGAGCAGTTCCTGCACTGTACTCTGAAGAATGAACCATTGAACTATTAGCAAGAGTTGCTATTAGTAATACTACATTACCTTTTAGTATGTAGGAGTGCAAGCCTAATTTAGTTAGTATTGCGTGATCACTGTAGTGGTTTCGTGTGTAGGCCTAGGGTTGTTGACAGGAACAAGTAGACTATATGTAGTTTACACTGTTGGCTTGATGTCATATAGTGTCCCCATTGTTATTGTTATGGAGCTCTGTAGATTTACTTAGTATTGCTATTATTCATTTGAAATAAAGTTTTAATGGATGTCAAAATTGTATAATGCAACGTGCACAATAACAAAGACATGAATACATAATTTTTGACATTAATATTTGTAGAACTAATGGATCAAATATAATACAAGCAAGTTTGCCTTATGATGCATTCTAATTTCAGTAATATACCTAAGTAGATCTAAGTTTATAGAATTCCTTATTGTACATACATTATTCACTATTACAACATGTACGTTATCGCATGATAGGCAAAACAGCTTTGTGAGTGTAGAAATTGAATGGCATCATCAGTTGAGAGTCAGGAGAAGACAGAAATACATGTCAATGGGGAACAGTTAAAGTCTCTGTACCCAATGGTCCCTTAGCAACCTTCATATATACTACTTCAACACTGTCTCCAGCTGCTTTAAGTTAGCTAGTCAAATATTTAGCTGATTTTTAAAGTCATCTAAGAGATTTTCAAAATTATTCTCAACTGACACGTGACAAAGAGGTCCAACTAATACATTACTGTGCTACCAATGATCCCGAGAGCATAACTGGAATTATTATTATGGAATTATAGAATTGTCATGTACTGTGTATAGATCTACTATTGCATCAGTTTTTATGACGTGCTGTTATTCATTGGTCAAGCCTTTCAGTATGTTCAATTGTATTCATAATGTGTAAACACATTTTTATTACTTGTACCCTCATGCTCTGTTTATTCAGTATAGCATTTCCTGGAATTGTCATGAATAAATTGTAATATTGACAGACGGACCTTGGCCCTAGAGTAAACTGTATTAGAGAGACTAAGACTTACTGCCTCCTTTCTGTTTGTTGCCCCAAAACTGATTACTAAACTAATTTTATAAGTATGTCAGTGTATATATCTGATTGTTTAGTTGATTACCAATAAGCAATCTTCCTTTATATTGTCATGCATTATATATAATGTCTATACAAGTACTCTTGATACAAGTATTGTGCATTTCTATATCATTTCAGTTATGGCTGCTGTAATGGGAAGGACTCAGGTACAGATAAAGGATGTAGGCACATCAGTCGTTGTACCCAGTGACCCGATAGCCAGGCTCATGTACTACTTTGATTGTGTCTGCAGTTGTGTTGAACTCTGATAGTGACTACACTATACGTCGCCTGAGAGATTATCGAAATTATTCTCGATTGACCAGCGAAGAAGAGGCTCAACTCATAGTCCTCTGTCTTGCTCTCAGTCCTGATAACTTGATTGGATCAGTATTTCATCCAGTCAATGACTGTGGGTCATCCACAAACAAGTTTGTTGAGATAAGTGCCGTCAAAACAGACCTTCTTGTGACCAACTCTCTCCTCATTGGAGGACAACAGAAAAAGGTGCAAAAAGTGATGTTTTTTGAGAAGAGGTGGATGGAGAACAACTTCATCGAGCCTCTTAAAGCAGTGCAGAGGAGACTCAACCGTCCAGCTCAACGTCGTATTGAGCCTCCCCCACGTCGTTACAGTCCTCCTGCTCGTCGCAGGGAGAGCAGTTCCTGCACTGTACTCTGAAGAATGAACCATTGAACTATTAGCAAGAGTTGCTATTAGTAATACTACATTAC